CTTGCATCCTGCTAAAGGATTTCAGGTGATCCGCAAAAAACGTAGAGGATGTAATACAAGTCTGCACAACACATGGCTCAAGGGCTACTTGTGGCCTCCTTTAAATCCTCCTTTCCTGTTACTCTTTCCAAAATTTGGGATTTTTTTCTTGGTTATGAATAATCTCTTAGACCCTTTTCTGCTCCTTCCTTGTCCACATCTCCTCCTACTTCTCTATTGATTTTTAAGTATTTCTATACCAAATTTTCTCTGTGCTAATTGTGCTCAATCTTCCTTTACCTAATTTGGATGAAAGTGAAGTTTGTGGGATGTCTTCTCCCCAATTCCTTCTTTTATGACTATATAAGTTAAATCTTATTCAGCTTCAAAAGTGGGATTTATTTATTCTTTATTCTTTACATTGTTATCTTCTCCTAATTCATTAAAATAGAACAAAATTATCCACAAATCCTCTGTCACTTTAATCTTTCTCTATGATCCAAGAAGATAGTAGAGTTCTGAGAAGACATTTGTTTGTTATCCCCCTATTAACATGTAAATAATTCATTCCCATATATTTGCTTTCAGTTAAACAAACGTGTATATTTTTAGATTTTTCTTTTTGTGCCTGCATTTCTCTTTCAAAATGTCTTTTCAGTTCTGGACAGAAGTCTAGAATTTAATAAGGAAATTCTCTATTCCATTAAAGGTCCAATTTTGTTCTCTGTAAGATTATACTTAGTTTTTCCAGATAAGTTATCCTTGGTTGTAAACCTTTGTTTCTTGCCTTTAGGAATCATATTCCAAGACTTTTGTTTCTTTATAGTGGCAGCTCTTAAGTCTTGTATAATTCTTATTGTGACTTCTTGGTTATGAAATTCCTTTTTTTTTTTTTGGCTGCTTGGACTATTCTTTTTTTTCTTTAACCTAGAAGCTTTGGGTTTTGGCTATAATGAGCTGGGAATTTTTGTTTTAAGATTTCTTTTAGGATGTGATCATTAATTCTATTTTCACTTTGCCCTATAGTTCTAAGAGTTCTGGGAGGTTTTCATTTATAATTTCCTGAATTGTAGTATTCAGACTTTTTTTTTTTCCTGATTATACTTTTCAGATAGCTGGGTAAATTCTTACATTGTCTTTCCTTGACTTATTTCCCAGGTCAATTATTTTTTGTTATTACATTTTTTTAGGTTTTCTGCTGTTTTTTAGTCTTTGGGGTTTTCTTTGATATTGATAATTGTATTTTTTTTGGCATCACTCTTCCCTTTGGAGCTTGTCCCTTGGACATTTTCTTATAGCATTCTGAGTTTCCCTTGGTTTGTTCATGGGAAACATGTGCTTGGGTCAATCTCTGTCTGCAACTTAATGGTGTGGGCAGGGCCTGCATTGTCCTGAGTAGTAGTAGGCCATAATGGATCCTTCCTTCAAGGACTCATGCTACTCTGGTCCTGGGTTCTTCCTGGACCCTCCATCACAGAACTCAGGGACTCCTTGCTGCTCTAGGCTTTGCTTGGTGCTTTCCTTTTCTTCTGGACTCAGGGCAGGATTCCCACCACATAAAGAATAAGCATGATTTGGCCAAATATTTTTCTCCTATTTCCCCCTCTCATGCCCCTCTTCATGATGCCGGTGCTATTTGGTTTAGGGAAGAACCACTATGCCAGACCAGTCCAGAATGCCCCAAAGCAGGAGTGTGCTGGAGCCAGCTTGTCCTGGCTTGGGAAAGCTAATTGCTAAATTTTCGGAGTGAGCACGTCCACCTCAAAAATTGGCAAATGCTACAAAAGGGCTTGGTTTGTTGTTTTGTTGATTCTCTAGATTTAAGAAAGTCTAGAATGGAGAAAATGTTAATAATGTAGATTAAACTCAAAAGTATGCTTGTGAGTACATTTTTTAGAGCACTGCGTTTAAAATATTTGCCAACGCACTCTTGTCCCCAAATCACTGTCCTTCAGTGGCTTGTGGGAAGGCTCAGCCTGGGCTTGGGTAAAGAGTTCTAGGACTGCTCCTCTGCACTTCATTCTCAACACGCCTGGGTTTGTTTAACCTAGGATCTCTGAAGGGCTCTAAGGGTGCCTCTGGAATCTCAGGTTGGTTTGGGGTGTCTAGAGGTGGCTCTTTAAAGTGGTAAATCTTTAACACCCAATGGAGAACTTGCAGGGGATCTGGGATCCTCTTGTCCTAACACGATGTTATTTTTTCCATGCCAGCATTTAAACTCCACTGGCATTAATATCGAGAACCCAGAGTCACTTCTATAACATAATGAAGTATTGGAGTAGGACTTTAGTAAAGTCACAATGTTGATCATTGCAATGCAGTAGGAAGAGTAGTGATTCTGAAGACAAAGGACCTCGGTTTAAGATTTCTCTGTCTTTAATGATCCATGTAAATGCTGGGCAAGTAAACTAGCTATCTTGTGCCTCAGAATCCATTACTTTCTCTGGGGATGGCCTAGATCACTAGACAGTCCCCTCTAGCTCTAAATCTGTGATCCTGGGAACTAAAGGGAGTAGGGGCTTGTTTAAATCTAGAGAACCGTAAGGAGGAGACGATGGCTGCTGGTGTCTATGTGTGGCAGTCACAATGACTGGCATAATCTCCCCTCCCCCACACCCCCACCTTCTCAACCTCCCCACCACATAAAGGCACTGAGGCCAAGAGAAAACCTCCAGGAATATGAGCCAGAGTTCTGTTTCAAGGGCGTAGGGCACAGCTTATCAATTTACATTCTTTCACTTACTAGCTGTGTGATTTGGGGCTGGTCATTTACCATTTCTGTGCTTTAGTTTCATCACCTACATTATCACAGCCATAACTATCAAAAGGTGAAGAGGGCTCTGCTCTGAGTTTTAAAAGTCTAGGAGGGGTGGAGGAAAGTGATTCGTCCTTCTTGGCCTTTGCCTCAAGTTTCTCTTGTACCAGTTGAACTACCCTTAGGGATATGGGTTATACTTCCTCCTAGCCTTCCCATCACTTGTATCCCAAGACATTGTCTTCTTAGCTCTCCTCTTACCCAACTATTTTTGCCACAGGTAAAACCATTCTTTTAAAAAATTTTTAAATTTATTTCTTTATTTTTTTAGGTAAAACCATTCTTGAGAGGCACCATGTCAAAATGGACAGAAACTCAAGTGACTCCCTGTTGCCTTGGATCAAATACAAAATGCTCTGTTCAGCATTCGAAGACCTTCATAACAGCTCCCTACTACCTTTCCAGTCTTCTTACACTCTATCCAACATGTCCTCTTTAATCCAGTGACACTGGCCTCCTGGCTGGTCCAAGAACAAGACTCTCCATCTGTCAGCTCAGACATTTTCTTTGGCTGCCCCATATGCCGGAACTCTCTCTCTGCTTTGACTACTGACCTCCCTGGCTTCCTTCAAGTTGCAGCTACAATCTTATTTTCTACAGGCAGCCTTCCTCAACTCCTCCTAATTCTAGTTCCTTCTTTCTATAAATTATCTCTTATTTATCCTGTATACAGCTTTCTTTGCATATATTTGTTTGCATGTTGTATTCTCCATTAGATTATAAATTCCCTTAGGGCAGGGACTGTCTTTTGCCTCTTTTTATATCCCATCCCCAACACTTGGCCTAGAGCATTCACTTAGTAAATGTTTATTGACTGATTAATGTTCTCTTCCTCCTTAGACTGCAAACTTCTTGAGGGCAAGGACTCTCCCTAGTGCTTAGCACAGTGCCTGACTCCACTAGGCACTTAATAAATGTTATTAATTGAAACAGAAAGCTGTGCTGGGACACAAACTAGCTTTTTGATCCTGGACAAGATATTTCACTTTTAAGTATCCTAGCTGATCCAAGACGATCAGTTTCTAAGTAGGTGCTGATCTTCATCGGTATATGATATTCATCCTGAGCTCCTACACCAATGAAATCACTTTCATAAGAATAAAAATTTGTAGCTTTACCCATGAAATTATATTTAAATTTTAACAACAGAAAGATAAGCAAAGGAGCCCTGGGAGTAGCAGCAGCCCTCTCTAGACCACCAGTCCTGCTTCTAGCCCACCCCTCACAGCCATCAACTAGGGAAGCAACTCTTATAAAGAAGGGACCAGCCATCCTTACCAATTGCCACTCATAAGGTGGGTAAGCCAGCTAGTTGAAGCAGCAAGGTACCCAGAGGGAGAGATAGGAGGCAGGATGTGCCAGGTAAATCAAGCCACCATCACCACATTGTCCACTATCTTCCCTGAGATCCTGATAAAGACAGCCTAGGACCCTGAACCTAAGAGCTTGGGTAATGGCAGCAATGCTTTCAGCTTAGTGCCATTATCCTAGGAAGCAACCCCTAGATACTACAGCCACATATACTGAAGTTTCAGAAAGAAAACTGTCACCAGAGTCTTTCAACATCAGAGACTGATGATTTTATCAGTGGAAAAGACATTAAAGAAGAGGCTTTACTATCCTCTTTGCCATTGCACCCTAAGGACCAAGTGACCTTTCCATCTGACTTAAAGCTGAAGCCTTCCATATATACTGTCTCCCCCATTAGAATGGGAACTCTTTGAAAGTAGGGATTGTCTTGCTTTTTAAATTTATATCACCAGTGCTTGGCATCATGGCTTGTATATAGTAAGTACTTAACCATTCATTCATTAATTCATTTAAATTTGTATTAAAACAATTAGAGAAGAGCCCTGGGCATTAGCATGATAGCTCAGCTCTTATATTTATCCAACCTATAAATAGTCCTTTGAACTAGATGTTTATTCTTTATTTTGATGCATATGTCTGATTTGGTGCAGGAAGCACCTGATCATATTTTCCTGTGATCATCTATAGATCCACAAAGCAGGCCATTACTATTGAAAAAGAGACCTTCCCACGGGGTTAGGATGGGGAAGGTGAAAAAAACAAGGCAGAATACTCAACCTCTGAATAATTTTCAGCTTCCTTGAACTGATATGACTTCATGATCTTGGCCAAAAGCCATCATTCCTTCTTTCTATTTCTGACCCGAGATAAGCTAGGTGGAATGCATTACCCAAGGCTGTGAATCAAGTTGATGATGGGAGAATGGAGAGGCTGTAAATGCCAGGACCTTATGTACACAAATGGCCCAGCTCTTACATTTTCTATGAAAAGGGAGCTATAGACCGCTAGTACTATCTCTGCTGGCTTAAGTTGGGTTTTCCGCTTTATCTGTTTCTCCATCTATGATATTATGAATAAATCCAAATATGTTCCCTCATGGGGATACTGCAAGAACAGGAGACAGTATACGTGAAGTACTTAAGGTTCTCAAGAGGACAGACTGAAGTGTGTAACTATGGTGATGCCAATGACTCTATGGTCTACAGCTTTCTGGTGCCATCTAGTGCTTTTTTAGAAATAATGCGCTCTTGGCTACAGAAGAAACTGCATCATAGTGTTATATAGATTTGGAGATGAAAGGGACCTCTAAAGCCAGGGAGTTCGAACCTCTCATTATATAGGTGAGAAAACTGAGGCACATGGAAGTTAAATTACTTGTCTAAACTCACAGGGGTAGTAAGCCTCAGGAGGGGCTTGGGAGGGATTTGAACCCAGGTCATTTTTATCTATAGGGACAGCTCTTTCTCTGATGAAGTCAGGCTTCCTGGCTAAGAGGACGAAGGGGCTTCAGACAGAACAACAAACCAATGTCACAGAGTCCTGGTAAGTTCTGACTATCTCGCTCCTTATACTGCCTGCAGTCCATCCAGTTGGGGGAATAAAGTAATAACTAAATAAGTTGTTAGTCAATAAACATTTATTAAGCACCTATTGTGTTCTAGGCCCTATACTAAGACTCAGGGTATAAAGAAAGGCAAAAGACAGTCTTTGCTGTCAAAGACTTCACAGTCTAATGGGGGAGATAATATAAAAACAACTGTGTACGAACAAGATATAGACAGTATAAATTGGAGATAATCAGCAGAGGGAAGGCAGGGATTAAGTCTAGTGATGGGTATCAGTAAACAGGCAGGGGATGAGGAAGTTATAAGCATGACTCATTGTTTTCAAATTTCTCAGGGCAAAACCCGTTCCAGAAGTCACTGCAGTCTTTAGCTATAGGAATAAGGAGCTAAGAAGTTCAGAAGGGAATAATTAAGGCCCAATTGCAGTATTTCCTGTTATATATACATGAGTAATGATTCCTAGGAGATTTGCACTTTCAAAAAGGACTGCAAGGTATTATTTTAAGCATCTGTATAGGGGAGAAATATACACCTTCCATGCCTAACATTTTCTTGGAGGGGCTTTGGGTGAGCAAAATCATTGTATTGTCCTTATTTTGAGTGGTATAGATAATGTTTCTTTTGGGACAGGGAATCAGAAACCTCCAAGGGTCACACGGTCCATTCTTTTTCTCTTTAATTTTGGGGTGAGATTTATAGATTGGAAAAACATTCAAGTTGCCTTGAATAAAATGTTTAAGGCATCCGTAAGTGAAATTGTAGAGACCACAGATTTTGAAGCATCAACCTTGGAAGGCAAGAAAAGTGGAAGGATTTTGAAGTCCTGGCAAAATCAGGTTGTAGACACTCTTTTTAAAAAATATATTGATGATAAACCCAAAGACCCCAGCTTCTGAGATAAGAACCCACTCTTTGAAAAAAACTGCTGGGAAAACTGGAAAAGAGTATGGCAGAAACTAGGCATAGACCCAAATCTCACACCATATACCAAAATAAAGTCAAAATGGGTTCAGGACTTAGATATAAAGGCTGATACCATAAGTATACTGGGAGAACAAGGAATAGTTTGCCTATCAGATCTATGGAGAACAGAAGAATTCATGACCAAACAGGAGATAGAGAACATTATGAAAAGCAAAATGGATAATTTTGATTACATTAAATTGAAAAGTTTTTGCACAAACAAAGCCAATGCAACTAAGATTAGAAGGAAGGTAGAAAATTGGGAAAGAATTTTTACAACCAGTCTTTCTGATAAAGGCCTCATTTCTAAAATATATAGAGAATTAAGACAAATTTATAAGAACACAAGCCATTCCCCAATTGATATGAACAGACAGTTCTCAGATGAAGAAATTAAAACCATCTATAGTCCTATGAAAAAATGCTCTAAATCGTTATTGATTAGAGAAATGCAAATCAAAACAACTCTGAGGTACCACATCACACCTATCAGATTGGCCAACATGACAAAACAGGAAAATGATAAATGTTGGAGAGGATGTGGGAAAATTGGAACGCTAATACATTGTTGGTGGAGTTGTGAAATGATCCAACCATTTTGGAGAACAATTTGGAACTATGCCCAAAGGGCTACAAAAATGTGCATACCCTTTGATCCAGCAATAGCACTTCTAGGGCTATATCCCAAAGAGATCAAACAAATGGGAAAAGGACCCACATGTACAAAAATATTCATAGCAGCTCTTTTTGTGGTGGCAAAGAATTGGAAATTGAGAGGATGCCCATCAATTGGGGAATGGCTGAGCAAGTTGTGGTATATGAATGTCATGGAATACTATTGTATAAGAAATGATGAACAGGCTGACTTCAGAAAAACCTGGAAAGACTTATATGGTCTGATGCTGAGTGAAGTGAGCAGAACCAAGAGGACTTTGTACACAATAACAGCCACATTATGCAATGACTAAGATTGTTAAACTGAACCCTTCTCAGCATTATGAGGATCTAAGACATTTCCAGAGGCCTCGGGATGGATAATGCTGTTCACATTCAAAGAAAGAACTATGGAAGTCGAATCACTATCACTTATTTTTACCTTCTGTTGAGTTTTGTTTCCTCTTTCTGATGGTTCCTCATATTGGTTTTAATTTTCACTTACAACTTCACTAATGTGAAAATATGTTTAATGGGTATGTAAATGTAAAGCCTATATCAGATTGTGTGCTGTCTTGGGGAGGATGGGGAGGAGGAAAAGGGAGAAAAATTTTCAACTCAAAAGCATATGGAAAAAAAAATTTAAATAAAAAAATATATTGATAGTTTTTAAAAAATAATAAAGAAGAGGCAACTAGGTGGCACAGTGGATAGATCACTGGCCCTGGAGTCAGGAGGACCTGAGTTCAAATCTGGCCTGAGATACTTACTAGCTGTGTGACCCTGGGCAAATCACTTAACCCTGATTACCTTAAAATAACAGATATTTCTTGATATCCCTACACTCCACTATAGAACACTCTCTTTCCACAAAGAAAAAGACACAAGTCAATTAAGTGGCATAGTGGATAAATGTAGACTTGGAGTCAGAAATACTGAGTTCAAATCCTGTCTCAGACACTTACGCTCAGACACTGTGTGACCTGGGGCAAGTAATATCTTCTCTATGTCTTTGTAAAATGTGGATAATAATAGCATCTACCTTTCATAGTTGTGGTAATAGTCAGATTTATGTCTGTTATCTCATTTGTACCTTGTAAAACTGAAAGCTTCTATAACGCTAGCTATTAAGTCAACTGACAAAGTGTCTGTGTCTGTCAGCATATGTGATATCCACCATTTGTATTTCCCCATCTCTTAAATGAGAGGATAGACCCATGTTTTGTATTGACCCCTTTGAACCAATATTGGTCATTGCCTTTAATCAGCTGGCTTGTTTTTTTAAATTACATAATTGTAGCCCTAGTTCTGACTTTTCTGCTCTGCATCAGTTCATTCAAGTCGTCCTATGTTTTTTCCCCTCAATTCTTCATATTCATCATTTCATATGGTATGAGTACTCCATTAAATTCATATGCCACAACTTGTCTAGCTTTCCCCAACCCACAAGTCCTCAGTTCAGTTCCAGTTTTTTGCTACTGCAGAAGTGTCATATGAATACTTTGGTGTGTATATGAAGCCTTTATTTCTGTTGTTGCCTAGCTATTACATTTGGAACAGGCCTCTTGGTAAATATTCTTTGTTTGCTGCACAGCTAAGGAGGCAGTTTGGAGGTTTTGAAGGCAGCTCTTCTAGGCATCTTTGAGGGATTCAGTAGGGGAAACCTGCTGGTTTGTTTTGTCTAATTTTACTTAAAAACTTGTGCCTTCACTTTCCCTTGATACAAGGACATCATTAGGACATCCATGCATTTTAAAAAATCAATACCTCTGGTTTTCCTGGTTGTGGAATAGGAAACACTCTCCACTAATGGACACCCACATGTGCTTAGCTTCTTGTAGTCTTAGAGAGTTACTTGCTCAACCTGGACTATCAGAGCACAGATTTGAACCAGGCCTTCCTGCTTTTAAAGACATTTCTCTAGCCACTATCTCTGCAGCCTTCTATCAGCTATCCATAGAATATCTTATTTGGACTCATAAATAAAACAAAGAGAGGAAGACAGAAGAAAAGTCATTTTCCTTAGCTAATTGGGTGAGTTGGAAAAATAATATGTATAGTATCTTAAGACTTTCTTCATAAAAACAATGAGGGGATAGTTAGGGAGATCTGGAGGGGATGGGGGAAGGTTAACAAGGTTACATGTATAGGTGTGAGAAAGATATTGCTTGAGATGGAGCAACCACCCCTACCCCACTCACTGTTCCCAATCCCCAAGACATTGGAAAAGGTTTGTTAGTCCAATTCGTATTAGTACCATCTGAATAGAGTTTCTGTATAGAATTTATAACTTTAAAAAACATTTATAAAGCTTGTCTATTGCAAAGCAAGAAGGTAGAGAGGCCCCTGGGAAGCTCTTTCTGGTAAGCCCTTTCTGGCAATGAGCAGTCTTTATGAAAAATTAACTTTTTTTTTTTACAGAAGTACATGTGAGAGTGCACTCTGAATTTCCAATGAATTGACTCTTTCATCTCCTGCTCATTTGCTCACTTCTCTTCTGAGTTAGAACTAGCTTGAGATAGGTAGGGTTTGGCCCCAGGGGCTAAAGTGAGATGTAGGCGTGTGTGTGTGTGTGTGTGTGTGTGTGTGTGTGTATATGCTGGGGTTGGGGGGGCTCTTCTTTTCAGTCAGCTACCTTCTTCACCTTGCCCCAGGCTTCTACCCTTCAAGGAAAGCATGCTCAATTTGAAGTCAGAGGATCTGGGTCCAAGTCTCAGGGCACCTTCTTATTACTACCTGTGTGACTTTGGTAAGTTAGCTAACTTCTCTGGGTCCTCCTGAGGTTCTTCTTCTGTAAAATGAGAGCATTGGACTGATGGCTTCCAAGATCCCTTTCAATTCTAAATGTCACTTCAATGCCCTCTTTGTAGCCCATTTTTCTACCAGTTGACTTTCCCCAATGTACCACTGACTGGGAAACTTGAGCTACATAAAACATCTAGGATCCGTCAGCATGGGGACCAGTAGTGACTGTGGTGGCTATTGGCTGCTGCTGCTCCTTTCTCCTCATAGTAAACTCAGCATGTATATGGACTATTTGTGCCCACTAGTAGAAGAGCCTTCCAAGCTCTTATTGGTCTGAACAGACACACTGTACCTTGACCCCAACATAGTAATGTCATTCTGGTCCTCTCTGAGAACAAAGGACAACAACTTTGGCCTCTAGAATCCTCTTCTGTGGTTAACAAACTCCCCTTCACCCTAGATTTTTTTCTTCTCACATTCCTCTCATCTTCTAGTACTCACTGAAATCTAGATTTCTCCTAAAGTCACCATGTTTATTGGTACCCTGTCCAAGATTGGCTGCTCTCTGACACACAGGGCCAGGAAGAATTGGTGTATTCCTGATTCAGCATCAATACTGATAGATGCTTCCTTTGCCATTATTACTTAGCAGTCACTTCTCCTCCCTTAAAGTTTACCCTATCCTATTCTGGTTCTTGTTACTGTCACCTAAGGACCACCAGCTCATATTCCTTCCTTAATAATTAATTCAGTATCTGGCTCATTGTTTTTTCTTCACATACCCTCTTTCCCCCCTTGCAACGTCTTGGATTCTCAGTTCCTCAACATCCTCAATTCCCTATCTTTTTCTGGAGTCTACCCTAACCATGTACAGGAATGATCATATCTATTTGAATGAAACATATTCATTTGTTTCAGTTGTATCTGACTCTTTTTGACCCCATTTGGGATTTTCTTGGCAAAGTACTATACTGGCTTGCCATTTCTTTCTCTAGCTTATTTTACAGATGAGGAAACTCTCTGTTTAAGGCAAAATAGGGTTAAGTGACTTGTCTAGAGTCATATACTAGTAAATATCTGAGGCTGGATTTGAACTCATATAGATGAGTCTTTCTGACTCCAAGCTCAGTGCTGTATCCACTGTACCACCTAGTTGCCCTCTTATACCCTATTCTCCTTGAATTTAGCTCAAGGGCGAGAATTCTTAGATATGTTTGCTTTTCTCCAGGATTTCAGGATGGTTCCCAAGTACTGTGGTCACAAAGCTTTGTCTTTAAAATATCTGATCACAATTCCATCATTACATATGCACAAACTGTGAGACAGATGAGATGAATGAAATACATCTTTGAAGATCAATAGTGAAGTCATGTGATTCATTTGTTTTGTGTCCTTAAGAAGGTAATGGTAAATTCATTGGACCATTTATGGATGGCTTTACTCTTATGTAGAATGAGAAGTCTCTGGTTAGCAGGGATTAGATTGCAAAGAGAGAAACCTATAATGTTGAGGGCCAGCTCTGAGGAGTCAGAGGATTCAGACCAGCCCAGGCTTTACCTGCAGGTTTCCTGTATCTGATGGCTGTGTAAGTCAGGAATGTTGGCTCCCCAACCCCCCTGTTCTGTCTCTTGAGAACAGGAGGACCTTGAAGATTATGGGAAGTAAGAAATGGTCAGGGTGACTCCCCTGATTAATGTCCCATGAGAAAAATAATTGTTGTTACTTTGCCTTTGCTACTTTGGGTGATGTTTCCATGCATTAAAGATATAAAAACTCTAACTTTCAGATTAATAAATGGAGTCTGTCCTTTACACCTCCCACCTGGCCCGCATGTTTCTTTCTCTCTTCATACTTGGCCAGAATCTAAACACAGCAGTGGATGCAGGCGGTCGTGGCAAGTGGCGCCCAAACAGGGACCTGAACAAGAACCTGAACCAGGATCCTATCAGGGGCAGGGAGCCTGAAAGAGTGGTTTCCCCCGGCGAGTAGCCCTGGACAAGGTGGGCTGTTTGGCCACTCTGGTCATTGCACAAAAGACAACGACTAAGGTAAGGGCAATAATTTTTTCTCATTTAATTTTAGTTCACCAGGTTTAGCGGGATTAGAGACACAGATCAGCGTGTGGGCTTTATTTTCACTTTGAATTGAAGTACCTTGTTATATTCGGTTTACTGTGAGGGTAAAGTTACACAGGCTGAGTGAGAGTATAAGGAAATATAATTAGTTGAGATGGGACAGAACTTGTCAGCAGAAAAGAGAGACAGAGAATATTATTTGAAAGTATTAAAATCATTAGTAAAAGACAGGGCATTGTTGATCACCTCTGGACAGTTGGTTGAATTTTTAGACATAGGGGAACAATGCTGTCCTTGGTTTCCCAAAGAAGGGACGATGGACATGGAAAAATGGGACATAGTAGGTAAACAATTAAGTAAATATTCAGGGATGACTAGATCTTTGGATGAGCTTTCTTTCCTTTCATTTGGTTAAAGTGTGTTCTCCCTGGAGAAAACTCATTCTCCAAGACCTTAAGGAAAATTTTGCCTGGTTTCCATAACATCAGGAAAACCATGAAAAGAAAAAATAAAAATAAAAATAAATATGAATATTATTTGATTTGTGCAAGAAATTTCTAACAAACCCCTCTGAGCTTTTGGATTTTCCCTGTCATTATCATGTTATCTGTTCTGTGTGTGTGTCTGTGTGGGTATGAGTGAATGTCTGTGTATAATGTGTGTAATCTGATACCCTTTGCAGCCAGGCAGCCAAGGGCTGCAGCTGGACTCTGAAATACAGCTTTCTTTCTCTCCCCCTTTTCCCTTCCTGATAACAGCAGCCCCAGAGAAACGGGTGGCGGGGAGAGAGAAAAATACTTTATTATTTAGGTTATGTGATTGGTAAAAGGCAAGTTGAGAAGGATCCTTGAAGTGTTAGGTCAGAATTAGAAAGAAATAAGATATGCGTAATTTTAAAGGGACTTTAATCAAAGTCCATTAGAAGAAAGGCAAGAAAGTTTAAGCATGTAGGAATGAGAGGAGTATGTGTAGAAAGCTTAAGGAAGGTATAATTTGTTTGCACAGTGTGAATAGAAGTTTTGAAAGTAAAAAGGTTTGGAAACTCTTGAAAAGTTGTTGGAAAACTTTCTCTTCCCCTCTTCTGCATTCAGCTCTGGCCAGGTTGTGGAGCCCAACTCGGCCGGGGCTGGGGTGAGGGAGAAAGGACAAGAAAAAGGAGTGGAGGGTGGATTTTTTTCCCCTCAGATCAAAACCAAAAATTTTTATGTATTGGAACACAACCAAAAGATAATTTAGTTCATTCAAATTGGTAATGTGTTTGTTTCAACTTTTAAACATCTAGTATTGTTTCCAGTTGGTAAATTTTTATATTGTTAGGTCATGAAATTTTTCATAATTTGGATGTTATTAAAATGTGAACTAAAAGAAACTAAAGGATGGTGGAAGAATTGTGTAAAAACAGCCCAATTACTTTATCAAGCCCTGCTAATCTTGTCTTATAATGTTTTGTAACTGTCAATTAGAAAATCAGGTATTTCCATCTTTACCTGCAATTAAAGAACAGCTTATAGTTAAAACAATTTGACTATCACTTATGAAAATTACCAGATTGTTAATTAAGTTATTTGAAGTTACTGTTTTAATGTTAAAACCTAGAATTTTTAATTACTTATGAGTGAAAAGGAGGGGCACAAGGCAATTACCTTTACTTTGTAAACTTGCCAAGGCTCCTAGAAACCATTTGTGTGGGCAAGGTCATCTGCCCTGAGAAAAGAACTTGTTAGGATTATGCAGTCCCTAAACAATGAATTTAGCTTGCTGACAAGTTGCAACTTTATGTACAATAGATAGAAATGATTTCTAATAATTGGCTTAAACCAGAACAAATTTAAATTTGAGAAAAAAGAATGTTAAGTGAAATCTCTTATATATGTAAGTCCTACTAAATCTTTATTACTTATTACAACTCCATGAGAATAAAATTAACTGTGTCTGGCTTTAAGCCGTGATTAGTGAAACTTGCTGTTTGAGGTAAAAGGACTATAGGACTATAATTTTTGTTCTTTAGCCTGCCTAATAGATCACCACTAAACAATTATTTAAAGATGAATTTAAACTAGTAGAATAAAAGATAGTTGAAACCCAATTAATTCCCCTTAATTTGAAATAAAAAGTCCTTCCTAAGGCATGAAAAACAGCCTTACAATGTATCAAAATTTTGTTAATAAAGCTATACAATCAATTAGGAAAAAAATTGCCAATACTAAAATAATACAATATATGGATGACTTCCTTTGTAGCTGTTCCACTAAAAATGAACTCACACATTTATAATCTCAGCTTTAATTAGCTTTACAGGAATATGAGTTTACTATAGCTCCAGAAAAAGTTCAAAAAACATCTCAATTCTCCTACCTAGGTCATATTGTCACCAAAACAACAGTGAAGCCACAAAAAGTACACTTATGCCTTAATTCTTTAAAAATACTTAATGATTTTCAAAAACTCGTATAAGATATTAATTGGCTTTGACCGACACTCCAAATTACTACAGAACAATTGGCTAATGTCTTTTTTACACTAAAGGATAATATTTTGTAACTATTTTTGAATAAATAAACTCCTAGTATTAAAAACATAGTATAAAAAATAATATAATTTTTTTTGAAAAGGCTGTTCCAAATGTATCACTTTTATTAACCCTCCTTCTTTTGCCATTAATCCTAGAGGCTTTTCTCCCAAACATATTTGACAAGTGAATATAACTCAAATGCCTTCTTTTGAAAAGCTTTTTTATATTCATGTTATAATCGATACTTTTCTTCTTTCATTTTTGCCACTTTACAAACAAGTGGAACAATTAAACATGTAATCAAATTAAACAAATTAAAACAGATAATGTTCCTGCTTACATTAGCCAAACATTTTTTCTTTTTATGCTTTTTATAACATTTCTCTGATCACAGGCATTCTACATAATTAAAAACAAAGATATTAAACCTATTCTTCTTAAACAAAAGAAAGGGGTTATCTGGGCTATTACCCCTCATCGACAATTGGCTATTAATTTTTAAAATATTAACAAAGATGGGTACACTCCAGTCCAAAAACATCTTGAGAAAAATAAACACCCAGAGGCTCAGAACCATTACTAACGTGGGGACGAGGGTATGCTTGTATTTTTTTCAGAAAACTTTGATAAACCTGTCTGGATACCAGAGAAAAATGTCCGAGCGTGCACCACAACTCACAGCTCAAATGCAAAGTATGAGAATTCAGGGAAAGCGCAGAAGGAACCGATCTGTAGTGACAAATCGCCTTCCCACATGGGGTCCAGTGAAAGCTCCCTCTCATCCAGCAATGGAAACTCCTGAACTTGTATTTTTAGCAATAGTAACTTTACTTTCTGCTCAAGTGCGTAATACACAGAGTGCTCAGCACTGGACTTATTTTCCTTTTCACCCTGGTTGCAACCCCTCACATATATGGACAAATTGGGAACTATATATACTAATAACACCTGTATATTTAGGAGACAAGAATATCCCTTTCTCCAGGACAGAGCCAATGTTACAATTACCCTCAGATCTCTAGCATTCAGGACACCTATATGTTTTACAAAAGTTAGCAACAATATTGAACCCTGTCTTTTTCTTATTACATCATTTTTTAATACCAGTTTGCTTGTTGGATATATAAATTTCACTCAATTTAGTACTACTTTTGAATAGAATGTTACTTGTGTCAATTGTACTCTCAAACAATGTATTGATAATGATGACTATATTGTACTTTTGGTAGAAAAATCATCATTTGCTATTTTCCCTACTAACATCTCACATGAATAGTTCCAGAATTCTGGTGAACATGCTCCTCAAATTATTACTTCCTCCTTAAGTCAATCAAAACAATTTATTGGTTTCCTTATTACTGGTTTAATCATTGTTGCTTCTCTTATTGTATCTACTACTGTTTCATCTATTGTGCTACAATCTGAAATTCAAACTGCACACTTTGTAAATGACTTAGCAAAAAATATAAGCTTAGCACTTAAAACACAAGAAGCTATTGATAGAGATATACTGTACAAAGTCAATTTATTAGAGGAATCAGTATTGTATTCAGGAGATGAGTTAGAAACCTTGAAAACAATGTTGCTATTGAAATGTATTATAGCTATTCTTTTATCTGTGTGACACCCTATGTGTATAGGAATTTCACTAATGATAATGTAACTATTGAACAAATATTAAATAAGCTCCAGAGTGCATGGCACTCTGAAAATATTACATGGGAACTTAGTCAATTATCCAAAATACAACATGAAATAGCTGATATTCATATTGATGGTATTGATCCTCAAGATATTGCAAACAAATTGTTAAATTGGATAGATCAACTTAATCCTTTTAAAAATGTATTTGGCTAGCTATTGAATTTTCTACCTTGGCTATGTTTTATATTAGTTTTATGTTTCCTTCTTCCCTGTCTTTTAAGATACACTCACCACATCTTAGGTGAGATTCATACAACCCTTTATTATCTCAAGTTAGCTCAGAAAAAAGGGGGAGTTGAGGGCCATCTCTGATGAATCAGAAGATTCAGGCCAGCCCATGCTTTACCTTTAGATTTCCTGTATCTGATGGCTGTGTAAGTCAGAAATGTTGGCCCCCTGACCCCCCTATTCTGTCTCTTGAGAACAGGAGGACCTTGAAGATTACAGGAAGTAAGAAACAGTCAGGGTGACTCCCCTGGTTAATGTTCCTATGAGGAAAATAATTGTTGTTACTTTGCCTTTGCTACTTTGGGTGATGTTTCCATGCATTACAGATATAAAAACTCTAACTCTCAGATTAATAAATGGAGTCTGTCCTTTACACCTCCCACCTGGCCCGGATGTTTCTTTCTCTCTTCATACTTGGCCAGAATCTAACACAGCAGTGGACACAGGTGCTCGAGGCACTGTAAGGCCAGAGCAGGGGTGATGGCCCAGGAGAGAAGGGAGTAATGGACTTACCAGAGGTCACTGGTAAAGATGAAAAATAGGTTTAGAATGAATGAGGCAGAGGGAGAGATGGAATTCACCTAGAGTGGTTTCAGAGGTCTGAGTCTGCAGATAGAACAGTCATGGGTGATGATGATGAGATCTAAGGTGTGAGGATTCCTCTGTGTGGTAGAGGTAGGGCAAATCTCCAGGTCACAGGAGTTAAGGAGGTTGGTGAAGTGGAAAGTCAGAGTATTTGAGGCACATCAGTAAGAATACTGAAGTCCTGAAGTGTGAGGGCAGAAATTGTAGTGGAGAGGGAGACTTTGAGCTAGGTACTGAATTCCCTGAGAAAGGAGAGGACTAGAGGTTGGTAAATAATTATAACCAGAATCTGGATAGGGTCATATAGACAGATGGAGTAAACCTTAAAGAAGAGGATATTGCTAGATTCTGGTGGTAGAGGAAGAATCTGGAAGTGGTAATGAGGAGCAAGGAATATGTTTACTCTTCCTTCTGTCCTGGAGTTTGGGGGACTGTGCAGGAGGTATACCTGGTACTGGACAGGGTGGACAGGGATGCATCATTTCTGGGAAGAGGAGGGTGCAGTTTTCTGTGAGTGCAAGAAGATGAATGAATGAATGAATGGATGAATGAATAAAAAACATTTATTAAGTGCTTACTATGTGCCAGACACATTTCTAAGTGCTGGGAACACAAATGAAAAAAAAAGCAAAATCTTACCAGCCCTCAAGAAGTTTATATTCTAATAAATGAGGATAACACATATACAGAGTGATGGCTAGAGAGGGGCATTTTGATTTTGGAAGTTGCAGGGATGAGAAGAGTTAAAGGATATATGACTGACATGTCCTTTCCAGGAATGGACAGAGTAGATTTGATTATATTCCTGTATTAAGAGGTAGCAAGGAGGTGGTGGTAGTGGGGGAGGTGGTATGTACTCTTTGGCGTGGCAGGAAGATGGCAGGTAGGCATTGTAGTAGTTTTAGGGCTAGCTGGATATGGAGAACTCCCATTAATCAGGGGCTCAGGGCCCAGGGGAGCTAAAGTACCAGGTTGGAGGCATAGCAACATGACAGGATGAAGGCTAGAGAGAAGGTTGTGAGAGGAAGATAGAAAAGATGAAAAGAAGTTTTAAAATGATAGAATAGGGCTTTCAGAAGGCAAGGGAAAAGTAGGATAGAGTGGTAGTCAGAGAAAGTTTTTTTTTTAAATTTTTAGTGAGGCAATGGGATTAAGTGACTTGCCCAGGATCACACAGCTAGTAAGTGTTATATGTCTGAGGCTGGATTTGAACTCAGGTCCTCCTGAATCCAGGGCTGGTGCTGTACTCACTGAGCCACCTTGCCTCCCATAAGGGAAAGGTTTTAACTTAGGTATGTATGTAGCAACTCTGAATCAAAGGGATTAGGAGAAGATGGGGAAGGATATTGCTAACCAGATAATAGGTAAGCACCATTTGATTGAGGCACAACGGTCCTGCGGTGACAGAAGAAGAGAAGGTTGGCATCAATATGTTCTTTCTCAAACACTATGGGGATTGATACTCATGTGCCTGATGGAACTTATACTCATCGTCAGTTCTTTTGCCTAATCTGAAGATGGCAATGAATAGATTGATGTATTCACACATTCAGAAGATAAGATTGATGCCTAGTGTAGCCTGGTGTCCGAGACCCTGCTCTAAGAAAGAGTTCCTCTTGCAAGAGGCCTGGCGTGTGAAGCTTTGGTTCTATACAGAATGTTAAAGTTGAAAGGTTTAGAATCTGGGAGGTCAATGGCTAGGAAGCCTTAGGCATTGATGATTTTTTTTCACCCTTCCCAGAAAACAAATGTAGCTCTGTCCTGAACCTTTATTATATAGATTTGTATGAAGGTGCCCCAAGCTCTGGATCTGTCTGTTTCTGGCTTATATTTTTGTTGTTTCCTTTTTAATTTGTCTCCTATAAATTTCTAGGAATATAGTTACTTCAGTCAGTCAGTAAGTCAACAAGTATTTACAAAAATATTTTATTTTCCCTAGTTATATGTAAAGACAATTTTTAACATTCATTTAAAAATTTTTTTGAGTTGCAAATTTTCTCTTTCCCTCCCTTACCTCTCTGCCCCTCCTGAGACAGTAAGCAATTTGATATAGGTTATACATGTTCAATCATGCAAAAAATATTACCATGTTTGTCATTCAACAAGTATTTATTAAACACACTATGAGTCAGGCTCTGTCCTAAGCATTGCAGATACAAAGAAAGGCAAAAAAACCAGTATCTGTTCTCAAGGAGGACAGAGCATGCAAAAAATTATATACAGACAAGATCTATATCTATCTACATCTGCATCTGTGTCTACAGCTCAATCTATTTTATTCATATCTACAATCTAATATCTAATCACATCTAATCTAATCTAATATCTAATCACATATATGTATGTATATGTAATATAATATATAATAAAATATAATATATGTGCATGTATATGGGTATATATATGTGTATATATGTATGTGTATGTAATATATGTGCATGTATATGTGTGTATATACATGTGTCTGTATGTGTGTATGCACACATATACATATATACATATATATTTACTATATATATTTACATATATATATATATACATATATATTTACATATATATTTACATGTGTATATATATATATATATATATTATATATATATATATATATATATATATATATATATATATATATGTATATATGTATATATGGATGAATTAGGAAAGGCTCCTTGTAGAAGGTAAGATTTTAGCAGGGACTTGAAGGAAGTCAGGACAGCCAAGAGATGGAGATGAGGAGGGAGAGAGTTCTGAGTGTGGTGGACAGCCAGGGGAAAGGTCCAGAATTTGGTGGACAGCCAGGGGAAAGGTCCAGAACTGGGGGATGGAGTGTCTTGAATGAGGAACTGCAGGGAAGATCATTGTCACTGGATTTCAGAGTACTTGGAGGACAGTGAGGTGTAAGAAGACTAGAAAGATTTATTAAGCACCTACTATGGCACATAGGCATTGTGTTAGGTCCGGGGGAAACCAAGTATAAAAAATGAAATAATCCTTACTCTCAATGAGTTTATATACTAACAAATAGCTTAGAATTGTGGGAAAAGTTATTTCTTCTCTGGCTTCTCTTCCAGGATTCATTCTGACCAAGACAGAGACTTTGAGAGTAAACTATTTGGGGCAGCTAGGTGGCAGAGTGGATAGAGCACCAGCCCTAGAGTCAGGAGGACCTGAGTTCAAATTCAACCTCAGACACGTGATACTTACTAGCTATTTCATAGTGATATTAATCTTTTAGTAAGAATCAAGAAGCCCATTAGTACACTTGACATCTTGACACAGTCTGAGGTATGCTTCTGAACATGCTAGGGACTCAGATGTCTGAGCAGCACAGTGACATTAACATTTGCTACTTGTAATACATGCATACTGTGTTATCATAAATGATGTTGCGAACTTTACTCTACACAGCCTTCATGAGGGGATGGTAGCCACCTTTACCTTCTGGCTTGTGCTTTGGACTATTGAAAGATAGAGATGTAGAGACTCAAAATCGATATGTCTTTTGGCTGAAAAATCAGTCAAAGGAGGCCTACTACTTAGAAATAATAGCCTTAGCTCAAAAAAGCTCTGTTAGAATCAAACAACACTATGATATAATTAAAAACTTCACCAAGGGGAGAAAATTCTACTAACAAATGTAGCTCATGTAAGCTGTGGGACTTCCATATCCCAACTCCCACTCTCACTGATGAATTGGGTTCTTAGCAGTGGTTTATATCTCCTCAGGGTTCTACAGGTATCCCTGAGAGGTAATAGGGTAGCTTTCTCCAATGCTATTGCCTCAATCCCCCATCATTGTGCTTCCCCCCAAGTTAACAGTTGAGAATCAGTTTTATTGGCCAGCCTTATGCATCTTTAGAAAGGGATATTTACAAAGGTGGTACAATGATAATAATTGATATACAATATGCTCCTCCTAAATCTGTGACACACTCTCCCACAAGGGTATAGAGGATCCAGAGGAAAACGGATTCAAATTTAGACAGCCCATGTGGTAAAAGTGCCATGTGGTACCTGGTTGCTTGAAATTCTTTTCTACCATTCATGAGGTGCTCAAGAAGTTTCCTGTAAACATGGTGAATCTATTTCTATCTATCCTTGGCTGATCCAGCTGATCTAGGGATGCATCTAGGACACAGTGGGAGGATTAGGAAGGCCAAAATCTTCCAGAACCTTGGAATCTTGCAAAATCCTTCTTTGGTCAAAGGGATGAGTGGAAGGAGAACTAACAAAGGCTAAAGACAAGACTTCTCCTTCCTTTCCAGGCGGTTCCTCCTCAGGAGTGTTCTGGTAGGCCACACTTACCTTGATTTTTGGAAGTCAAGCCTTTTCAACTCACTTGATAATTTATCTTCAAAACCTGGGACATGGTCAAGTTTCCTTAGCTCATCCAAAAATGATTCTTATGAAGACCTTTTGGCACTTAATCTAAGGTCTATGATTTATGGATTGATTGAAACATATTCTTACTAAGTTAAAATATCAAGGCTAAAATGGGGTGAAGTGGTTGTGATCCTACCCTTACCCATGCACAACAGCAGAATGATGGAAAATCATTTCATACGAACTAGCTGAAAGACTAGACAACTTGCCAGTCTGTAGAATAGCCCCAGAGAGTGGTTTGGGACTTAAAAAGACAGCATATCATAAACACTGGTTGTTTATTAGATAGGAGTTTATTAGATTCTTTGGTGAGAAGGAGGAAAAGAATGGTGGAGAAACGTTAAAAAATGGCTCCCAAGAAAGTATCCACCCA